CCGCAGTCCCCCACTACCGAGTCCGTGCAAAAATGCACGCGCGCGCGCGCCGGAGTGTCGCTGCTGCATGCGAGCAGGGCAGCAGGGGGGTGTTGGAGGCGGGGAGGTCGACTGCAGCGCGCTCAATCTTAGGAGTTAAAAGTATTTCAAAGGAGTATAGTTTAACTATCATTTGGTAGATTTGTGAATTGTGAATGAAAAAGAAGCTTAGTAGTGCGGGATGGTGGCTGATTAGCTCCGTTCACTTCCGTAGTTAAATTGTACGCCATGCACGCTTTATGGAGGGGGGGGGGGAGGAGGTGGTAGGGGTACGGGCAAACAGCCTGACTGCGAAAATGTGCGGAAGGGGTGAATGCGAATCAGAGCCGATGAGCTGGGATAAGCCACCTGCTATAACATGGTCTTCGAGCGATAAAGCCAATAACGGTATGTGTCTGCCGGAGAAATCCGGCCGGCCTGTTCCGGGCTGCGCGGTCCGTATTTGGAGCTGCTCTGCGGAACGGATTCAGGCCAACCGATTTCCCTGCCCTCCCCGCGCCGCGCTGGGGCCGGGCGAGACGTCAACTTGTGCCGCGTCCTGTACGGTACCTGGATGCACTGCGGCTCGTGCAGGGGCAGCGAGGCCGTCCCGAACTCCCTGCCGCACACGAAGCAGGTCACGATGCGCGGGGCGCGCGCTGCGCGGCTGGGGCTGGTGGGGCCGTCCGGGTCCACGAAGTGCGTGACGAGGAACGCGCCCTTGGCCGGCGAGACCCTCCTGGCCGGGGACGCGGCCTGATGCTTCAGGGAGCGGGGCATGGCCATCGAGGGGTCGAGGCTGTTGGGCGCGGCGCCCTCGGAGCCGCGGCGCGGCCGGTACTTGATGGCGACGGGCTTCTTCACGGAGTTCTTGACGGGTGCTGGTGGCTGTGGTGCCGGCTGCGGTGCGGGCTGCGGGGGCGCCAGGTGCAGCTGTCCGTAGCCGTGGTGCTGGCTGGGCTTGCCGGGCAGCTTCGGGTGGCTGTGCAGCCGCTCGGGAAGCTCCGGGCGGCCACAGGTCCGGCACGGCTCCGGGACGTGCTCGCGGGCGCCCAGGATGTCGTCCAGGCTGGGGCCACCTCGCCGTCCCTTGGACTGCTGCACCTTGGCCTCGGCGGCCTCCGGGACGTTGTTGTTGTTCATGATGCTGTCCAGGGGCTGCCGGCGGCCGCGGGCGAGCGCGCCCAGAGCGGGGATGCGGAAGGTCCGGTTCAGACGGTTGTTCCTGCGCACGCGGTACGTGCTGTAGCGATCGTCCTCCGCCCAGCTGCTCTCCTCGCCGTCCTCCTCGATCACGGACTTCTTTTGGCGCACGAGCGCGCCGGCGGGCGTGGCCCCGCGGCGGCGGCCCGCCACCGGGGTAGCCTCGTCGCCGGACACGTCCGAGCGCGAGGGCGTGCGGGACGGTGGTGCACGCGGGGTCGGCGTCGACGCGGCGGTCGTGGGGACGGGGGTGGGGGCGAGCACGCCGACGACGCCGCCCCGATTGCGCCGGAAGCGGCACGCGTTGAGCAGCCCGCGGCGCGTGAGCGTCGTCATGTCCAGGTGGCCGAGCAGCGCGATGTCCAGCACCAGCGGCTTGTCCAGCGTCGCCGTCCTGGGCCTGCCCGCGTCCTCCGGGGAGCGGCCGCTACCCGGAGCTGCGCCGCGGCCCTTGGGCGGCCACGTCGACGTGTCGAGCGTGAGGCTCAGCGTCTTGGCGGAGCCGCGCGTTTTGAACTTCATGGCGGCGCGGCCGAGTGCGGCATCGGGGCGCCTCGAGCAGCCGCGGCCAACTGAGCGGCGTACGGAGCCGGAGCCGGACCAACGCCGGGACTAGTGATTCACGCGCGCGCCCACGCACCACAAGGAAACCCCCTGCGGCCCCGGGGACACGGCGGCGGCGGCCGTCTGCTGCATCGGTTAACAGCCAGGAACGCGGGTGAAGGAAAAGGGTGGGGGGTGCACTGCGTTGCCTCGCTGGTGTCCTCCGGGTGTCCTCCTGGTGCCTCACGGCCCGCTGCTGCCGTCGTACACGTGCACAGACACATGCAGCCGCGCGGCCGGGCGTCGGGCGGACCGCCACGGGCTCCTCACCGCCGTCATGGTGGCCGCCGGGCTCGCCGTCGAGCTGGGGGGAGCGAGGCTCAGCGAGCGCGGCGGAGTAGTGGAGCCGCACCGCGCAACGCTGGCGACCCTGCACTACGACTGGAGGGGCCCGGGCCCGCCGCACAGGTACAG